ACTTTGTTTTTTTTTTTTTCTTTTATTTTTTTTTTTGTTCTGTCATGAGACTTATCTCTAAGGATGCAATATGCACATACCAGAAAAAAGTTCACACGAAAAAGGGAAATTTTTTTTTAATTTTTTACGCATACACGTATTACACATATGGATATGCGTATAACCGTGGGAGTGTACATGTGAAGGAGGCGCGCATGTGCTGCACATATGTACGTTCGTACATATATACACGTATACGTAAAGCGTGCATGCTACATATATGGCGACATGCGTAGTCGCACGCACGTGGCAAATGTAAAAAAAAGGTGTAAAGGGAAAAAGAAGCGTGCAGCCTACCGAAAGAGGTGCTTTTCTTTTCGTGTGAACGAGTTAAAAAAAAATGTATATATAAAACGTCAGAATTGTTTGATGCGAAAAGGGTTGCACGGACGTCAGCAATATTGGGGATTCCCATGTGAGGGGAACCGGCAGGTGTAAAAAGGGGAAAAGAAAGGGATGGAAAAATGGGAATAAGCGAAAAAGGGAACTTTTTGAAGTTCCATATGGGCACATATTTATAACGAAGAAAGCGCATGCAAGGGCGTGTAAAAATGTACGTAACTATATATGTTATAATACATTTTTGTTATACATATGCGTACATATTTATACATATACGCAAATAAGCCATTTGGCCAACGCGAGGAAAATAAGCAGATGTGTTTGAGGCTATTATGAAAGGAAGCACGTGCCCTCGGAGAGCCTGCTCGTTTGTTTGGCAGTTAGCTCTGCTATTACATAATACTACGCGGTGTGGTTACTCTGCAAGTTTCACTCTTTGCAATTTTTTCCGTTCGATCGTCTTGCCATTTCTGAGCGCAGATTTGCATGAAACCTCATCGAAATTATGTGACTCCAAGGCACGCGCACAGAATAGATCAAAATTTTAACTACCACTTTGGGGAGAATATGCATTCTTTCACATTTTTGCAGCAACTCTCTTTTTTTTTTTTTTTCCAGTTAGTTATTTCATCCATTAATACTGAAATAGTCACCTTTTTCTGAACTGTTCAGGCGAATTGTAAAAAAAAAAAAAAAAAAAAAAAATTCTCAAACTGGCTATTAAGCGCTAAATTAGCAACGAAGCCGCTTCGCATGGTTAAAATTAGAAACAACATACTGCGCAATGGTAGTGAATATATAGGAGGGAAAAAATAGGAAAATGGTGAACGCTGTATGCTTCTCTCTGTACATAAGCAAAAGAAAGGAGTTTAGCCGAATAGGCATACCACTTTGACGAAGCGGGTGTTTCACCAAATCTCGCATATGGAACATGCGCAATTATAAAAGTTCGTTATGTCTGGCCAGCATAAGCTGTGTTTATTGTGGTTTTCTTTTGTAAGGAACGCCACTGTCTGTGTATTAACCCAATTCTCCATTTCGAAGCGGGGAAGCGTGGATTATTTTTGGAATAGAACGGGCATGTACACGTATTTGTGATTTGTGCCTAGTTATGTCCATTTATTTCTATTATCTCTGTTTTTGTATTTACAACGTGTGTGGTTAGCGCGTATTCACCTCCACGGGAATGTAATCGCAACTTATGGAAACCGAATGTGTCCAGAAATTGGCAGAACAAATCTGCTCTCCGTGTGTGGGCATTATTTACGAGGTAATTGCTTTCAACTGAAAAGGAGATTCGCATCAGTGCTAATTTTTACACAATATTGGCAAAATGCACGCTTCGTAATTATTGAAAGGGTTATAGTGTTCCCTCGCTGAAATTTTTTTCTTTTAAAATGCCTGTGTAAAGTAATTTTCTCTTGTCCGATAACCCCTTTGCTTCAAACCAACTTGAGCAGGAATAACTACAACACGTAGCAGTCTTCTGAATTTGAAAATGTCTCAAGGCACACAAAAGGGGAAGACAAACAATTTGCGCCCTCGACCAATCCGCATGCTTGGAAAAAGATGAACTTTAAAAAGGGGTACTATTATCTTTTAAAAGGCACATCATCAGAGGTTTTTCTTCCCACGAGCGTTATAGTTTTTCCACATGGATTAAAGCCATTTATTAAAACGTTTCCTCATAGCTGCGACCAATCAAGCAGGCCATCAAATCGGGAAGAATTGCCGCCCTCCGTTGGCATTCACTGAAATTAAATTTCGTGCGTCGTGTTTTCTCCGATATTTTGCCTCACCATCCTCTTCCATCTGGGAAGGTGCACATGATAGAACCGCTTAACCATGTGGTGATGTATATCGCTGTAACGTTTGGGTGATTCTTATAAGAGCCGTTTTTTCGTGGACGCGTTGGTCCCCCTTTTGCACTCGTGTGATGTTTTTTCTTCCAATGCGCACTCCATACTGATGGTGGAGCGATAGCAACTTGGGGAAAATGCGAAAATAATGTTTTTTTTTTTTTTCTTTTTTTTTTTTAATTGTTAAGAAAAAATGGTACAGTTTTGCTTTTTCTTGTTATACCTCTTAACACGGTGTGCATATGTATAAAAATGGGAATATATGAAAAAAAAAAAAAAAAAAAAATATCACACACCTGGTAGGTATATGATCAGAAAATTGCATGCATGCCATTGGCGCATTCATCGTATAGACAGGAACAAAATGAAAAGGCAGAAAGAAAGAGTCCATCGAGGAATCTTTCCTTCGGCCTTACCATCCGTCCATGTCCTTGTTTCCGAAAAAAAAAAAAAAAGGCACAATAAATTATATATATCACTCTACCTCTAGTCATGTTGCCGCCGCACCCTTGTCAATGCACATCTCTGTTCTCCTTAACAGCATGGGCGTATCACCCTTCTGACTAGAGAGGCTCTGGTGGGCATTTTGTTGCAAACATAATAGTCTCATATGTGGTGCGCTTACAGAAAGTACACTTTTTCGAGGCTCCTTTCAAGTGTGCGCCTTTTGGCAGTTTCTCGACAGGTTTTCTTCCAATTGGGTTCAACAATACACAGGTTCGAAAATGTGTGACAACGGTGCGACAGAGGCGTTATAGAGTCGTTACAGCGGCGCTACAGCGGCGGCTTGGTGGGAGATGACTGAAGGGCGCGAAGGGTCCTACGTTTTGTGTACAAAATGATGTGGAGTTTCCCCCCGTTTAGGCCCCCTTTGTATGCCCACTTAACTCTGCATCGGCACATGTACACATGAGATGGGTGCAGTTCCTACCAAATATAATCCGCAGCACAGAATTCACCCCTGGGAGCAAACCATTTAATCCTCTGTCTTTCCAACCAGCTTGGTCTTCTTGGCACCTCTCAACAAACCAGTTCTTCTAGCAGCAATGAGACCGACCTTCTGTCCAGCTGGCGCGCTTCTCGAAACGGTGGAAGGATGACCAATGTGTTGGTGATTACCACCACCATGGGGATGATCCACTGGGTTCATAGCAACACCTCTAACTTTAGGCCAGCAGTTACGTTTAACTCGGTATTTGTGGTGAGCAACCCCAGCTTTGAGAATTGGCTTATCGATTCTTCCCCCTGCACCGACGACACCAACCATAGCCCTAGCTCTAGCATCAATCGTTTTTTTCGCACCAGAAGGCAGACGAACTTTGGTCTTCTTTCCATCCTCAGATTGGCCAACAACCGTGGCGTAACATCCAGATGCCTTTACTAACGTGCCTCTGTTCCCTGTGCGGTGCTCTAAATTGCATATTAAAGTACCTTCAGGCATTTTTCCTATGGGTAAGATGTTCCCGACGGATAGAGGAGCTTTAATACCACAGGAAATATATTGACCGGTGAACATGCCTTCTGAGGCAACCATCAACTCTTCCTTCTTTCCATATTTCTCTGTTTTTTTAAAGACGATTTTTGCCAAGGGGGCCCCTCTTCCTGGGTCATGGATAATATCCTTTATGAGTCCCTTAATGTATCCCTTTTTTTCGCAGAAGTCCAGGTGGCGCAGCTTGGCTGCTCCCTTTCGGTGGTGATTGTGGGACTTGAAAATAGAGCCCCTTCCTTTTCTTTGGCCTGCACGGGGGGGAAGCGGGGGGAAGTGGCATGAGTGGCGTGCGTAGCGTAAGTGGTGTGAATAACGGGCGTGGCGTCAGTGGCGGGCGTAGCGTTAGTGGTACAATAATCGCGCAGGCATACTCCCAACCCTCCGCGCGCAAAAAGAAGCCAACACGCATATGTGCTTTTTCCTTTTTCTTAGCCCCTATGGGGAAAATATGTACCTCTTATAACTCTTCCCATTTTGAAAAATCTCTTCTGGAATTATAAACCGTTTTGGGGGGGGTTCCCTAATTGTGGGGCTTTGAGCGAGCTACACTTGTTGAGTAAATTTCGCGGAGGAAATCCTACTCAGGTTTGGTCCTGGAAAAGGATCTAACTTACATTCACGCGCAAATTCGTCGCAGCGTTTGGCCAAAATTTTCCGTTCTTTGTTTTGGATGGTTATCCTGACAGTGCGACAGTGTTAACTTTTACTTTGCTAATTTTTTCGCAACACTTTTTTTTTTTCCAGCTATTTTTTTGGGGTCATTAAAAAGGTTTTTTTTTTGTCATTAAAATGGATTTTTTTTTTTTTTTTCGTGTGCTATGGAAGAGTGCGCGGTTACAATATTGTATGCATATCTTTCATACGTAATTGTTGTGTATACCACTGATCCATCGCTTATTACGTGCGTACAATTTGTATGTGGTAAAGGTATAAAGTAAACGAAATGAACACATATATACGGGGGACTATAACGCTACTTTCTCTTCTGGCCGGTGCGCACGCGTTAAATCGGCACGTACATCTATATGCGTAGTACCTACAAGTTAACCACTACAAGGCCCCCAAACAAGGGGTGATTTAAGAGGTTACCCCTAAGCACATACCCTATGTACATTATATTCGTATTCGCGGCGAGGCCTACGGGGCACGCAATTGGGCCTGTCCCGCCTTGCCCGTATGCATATAGAACATTGGATAGGGAGGCCCCCCCTATGACAACTACGGGAAGCCAACCCGTTTTTTTCACGACTCCCCAAATGTTGCACCTATATTTTGGTGCTCTCACGTCCCTGTTGAGGGAAAGAACAAATTGGCAAAAAAATTAAGAGCGAAAGAAACGGGGATTTACTGAGACGCGGCTGTATAGGAAATGCCCAGCGACGCGTCACAGAACGGAAAAATAAAATAAATAATAAAATGGAAAAAATATAGAAAATATAAAAAAAAGTGAATTTCCCAACATAGAAAAATATAAAACAGTCAGGGCGACAGTACCAACCCGCGAGCATTACACAGTTTTTACTTGTGTAACGACAAATTGGCGAAGAAGCACATATTTTTTTATTTTCCTTTTTTATGCTAATGTATGGGACGCTGCCAACGGAGGATGGTGATGGAGAGGAAGCAGAAGGAGATGGATATATATACCATCTGGCTTTTGGAAAAAGGCGCGCCCATTCGAATTAGCCATTGTGTTACCCAATACGATTTTGCCTGAATGGCGGAAAAGACGCGACTCCCTGTATTTGTCGTCATGACTCCACACTATTTGATTCGGTTTCCTCCCCCCAGGAGAAAAGAAAAAAAAATTTAGTATTTTCCCATAAGTATAACTACCCCCAATGGGTTAAAAAGGGTTTTACATACCCATCACGGGGGAATTCTTTCTTGCAACCACCAAATTAGGAAATTTCCAAAAAGTGTGCCTCAATCGAGGTGCCCGCTTTTATTTAGTCGCACCACCTGGACGGACGAACGGACGGGCACTTCTTTTATGAATATAAGAAGTTAAAAGTACACTTTTTTTTTCTTTTCTTATCTCCTTGGAATTAAAAACTGTTGCGAGTGTTAAGTTAAAAAAAAAAAAAGGAAAGATAAAAATGTCCATACGCGTATATGCCCATACGTCGAAATGAACGAAATGGATGATGAAATGTGCATTTGGCCGAAGGGAGAGAACTCTTCCGCAATTTGCTCTCATTTGGGCTCATACAGCACTTGATACGCAGTCACGTCAGCCGCAGCTTCGTACCACTTTGCATAACCTGATCGGGCCGGCCGCTTCTTTTCTTTTACGATGGCAAAGTCAGCATGGCACACGTGGTCGCACTAAGGGAGGGGGTCGCTCCTGTCTCTCCGACAGGCTTCCATCCACCACACCCTTCTTATTTATTTTTCTTTTTGGAAGCAATATAACCGATGTACCACTCAACAGTCTGGTACGTCGATCTCCCCAGAGTCAATCATCTCCTGGACGGTGGTTGGCTTCTTCCCATCGACGGTACAACCAATGGAGTTGCAAGTGCCTAAAATTTCTTTTACAGTTCCTTTGAATTCTTTGGCCCTCGACTTATCCTTCATGATTCTTGCGATAGAGTACACTTGCTCAATCTTTAGATTTCCATTGTGTTTAATATTTTTCACTTTTTTTCGATCCCTGGGAGCTTCATTCAATTCCTTTAGCACCAGCGAGGCTGACGTTGGCACCACTTCGATCTTGGCTTGCCTATTTTGTATGGTTAGTTTTACGCATATTTTTAGCCCCTTCCATGACTGAGTTTCTTTCGCTATATCGTCACCAATTTTCTTGGGGGACAATCCAAGGGGTCCTAGCTTTGGGGACAGCACTGACGAGGCTCCGACTTCGCCTCCGACCTGTCGGATGTAGACTGCGCGTAGGGGGAAGGGGGACGACAAAAATGATGAGTTATCCTGTCCGTATTGTTCACGCAAGCGCAATGACAACCGCGGGGGCTATGGTGGGGTATAGAAGAGAAAAGCAATACACCCACGGGGATGGACCTCTACAAAGAACAGAAGCTCATATGACGGGGTCTCCAAAATGAGAGAAGGGAAAAAAAGGAAACCCTCCTTCACAGGGACAGTATATCCCTGCTTGCCCTGACAAATTTTCTCATCACTCGAATAAGAGACTCTCTAGCACATCTACTTTGAGGGGGACCCCACCGAATGTCACAAACATGAGCACGTAATATACGTATGTAAAATTACTTCCCCCCAAGAAGGTATGCAAAATAAGGGCAATCCCGCCATGCGAAGAGGTGAAATGAAGCAACAACAGGATGGAAGGGGTCGGTGGGGGGAGGAGGATTACATCCCTCCTCTGCTTCTAATTCATTATGCGGAATAAGAAAAATGCAAATGAATAAAAATAATTACCATATCTTATCTCGTTAGGATCTGGTCTTTTGGCCATTTTTTTTAACTTTCACGTTTGCTAATTCGAAGGGAGTTTTCTCCAATTGGCGGATGAGTTGTTTTTCCGAAGCGAGGAGGTTCGCAGTTCAGTCGTTCGTACGTCTGCACGTTTGTATATTTAAAAATTTGTGTATTTATTTTTTTTTCTTATTTTATTCTATTTTTTTATTTATTTTTAATTTATTTTTTTTTTTTTTGCTCCAACTCGGCCAACACGCTAATTTCCATCAACAGTCAGAGGAACGATTAAACGGCGACGCGCAAGCAGTGGAATGTAATCAATTTGCAATGGGGCATCTCCGCAGTCGGCACGATGGTCATGCCGCAATACCCTTCATGCTGGCTATACCTCCTTATACTTCCAATACTCATGCTCGTCCCGTTTTCCCCCTCTTTCGTGCACTCAGACTGGTGCTTAACTATACTTAGCTTGTTCACTTTATCGCGTCATCCTCTGAGGAGCCCAACCCTCATAGGCGGTGGCGTCATTGCGCACTGTCGGCACCAGGGGGGAATACATCATCCAACTTGGCCTCCCTCCCCCAAGGTAGAAATATACATCCATATTAGATACACATATATATATTTGTACTTATTTTGTTCACCACACCCCACAGGGGGGAGGAGTCGCATTGCTTCTTAACTACGGAGGCAAACAGGCTGCAGATCTGCCTCTCGGGCCTTGCCCTTCCCCGCGCAAGTGCTTAAAAAAATCGCATACAGGTATGTAGGATGTACCCACCCCACAGGTGTAGCAACAAAAATGGGGAGAGGGCATAGAAGGGAAAGATCTGGCCCAACTGTCATTATATCAAATGTACAGCAAGGAAAAAAAAAAAAAAGGGGACGAATTTTTTTTTTTTACTTTTTTTCCTTTCTCATTCATCTCAAGTTGTTCACCCCAAATAATTGTGTAATGACTCGCACCAAAAGTTACTTAAAACTTTGGGGAGTTTTTCCATCCATTTTTGCTTAGCGGAATGGTAAATTTATAATGGTGTTGTATCCTATCCACTGACTGCTTCTTTGCTTCTTGAGCCGAGCACGCCTTGGCGATATTGGTTCCCAGGAGGGTTATTTTAGCCCCCTTTTTTTTCTTCCACAGAGATGCTGCTATCCACAGCAGAATAGGCTCCCACGGGTGGTACCCCCACTGTGCACATCAAACTACTTCTCATTTTAGCAGTCGTGGAGTATCCGTCCACTTGAGATGTTCTGACTTGTTCGTTAAATGTGCGTGCCACCTGCTCACGGGGGAACAGCAAAACAAAGAAAACCGAACAAAAAAGAAACAAAAAAAAGGAAACAGAAAAAAACATTTCGGCCAAGAATTGCAGACGCGCGCCTACCGATGCAAAATGGTGAGCTCGTGGTGCGGTTCCCCCGCCACAGCCGCTAAACGGTGAAGTGAGAGGACGCTCCTAATTTTCTGCGGAGGGTACTTATACCGGGCCCTGAAAAACGCAGCGCAGTTGGTTAAAATCTGGTCCAGCATATGGCGAACAAATTCTTTCTCCGTGTCTGACGCGCACGCATCTGTATGCGCCACCCCATCGGCGGAGTGTCCATTCCGCAGCTTCCTAACCAGACGCACAAATTTTACTCCATTTGAAAGCCCCAATTGGGCAATGTTATTCTTTATGTGGAAGAGAATCATCTCGAGGCTGTCATAGTGGTAGTAGTGACTCCGCACGGCGCTCTCCAGGACACGTAACTCGTCTTCCACCCGAACGTCGGTATTGTGGTTGTTGTAAAGGTGAAATAACTTTCGCAAGGTGGGATTCACCAGGGGGAGTTTCTCCAGATGGGAGTCTTTCCCCACAGGGGGGGCTTTCCCCACTTGAGGGACTCCCATCTTGGAACCATCATTCCGGGGTACACATGCTCCATCGAAGAGGAAGCAGTTAATCCTGAAGAGGCTCAGAATGAATTTTTTTATCTCTCTTGGGGAGTAAGCCAGTTGGGTGTTCTCTATACGTTCTATCGACTTGCTATAAATCTCCCATCGCTCAGGGAAAGGAAAAACACGACCATATATTGAAAAGAGGCAAACAAAGGTGCACATCTCCTTGTGTGTAAGATCGAACTTGTTGCGTATAATGATGTGAAGGAGCTTCCTTTGGCAGTCATCCGAAAGGGAAACTTCTTTCCACCTCCACTTTCTAATCCTCTTTATTCTGCATCGGTAAATATGATAGGAGCGTAGGAAAAGCACCACGTCAGAGGATAGGCAGAAATCGCTATTGTGCAGTACATGTCCCATCAGTCTGCAAATCAGGGCTGGCTCAAAATAGTCGTTCTTTATGAACATCCTAAATAGAAGGATGGTGTCATTTATCTTTAGGTGACTCCAAAAATCGTATACCCTGTCATTAACAGAACCCCGCAGCAGGTAGTACTCAATCGACTTAAGGAAGTTATTTTTTTTTCTCTTTCTTCTTTCATATTTTATTCTCTGCAGAGCATGCAATAATCGGATGATTCCACTGGGACCGAACTCTGGAAGAAGAACCACAGCTTTGTCAAACTGCTCATCCACTTGATCGAATAATTTACTCCTTCCTAGTGTCCCGCTCGTGGAGATGCCTTCCCCCCTGTTCCGCTTCACCTTTTTTAACTGCCCACTCATTTGTCTCCTTCGTGTTGACTTCCCCTTGCTGTACCTCCCCACCAGGGCTATATGCTCACACACATTTTCCAGGTGCTTCAATAAATGGGTAGCATTTATTCTGTTCAAAGTTACACTCGGGATGAGGTTCCGGATGAGAGGAATCGGTAAAGTATTCATTTGTTACGCGGATGAGAAGAATGCTTAAGGGAGGTAGGGTGGAACAAATGTGGAGAAGTGAGTAAGGTGGGTGTGCATACACGTATTACCACAATGTTTTGGTAGTCCCTCTGGAGGGGTGGCGATGGACGGGACACTTCTCCCGGTGGAGTGTAACCTTTTGCGAAGTGGTCCTGTCCCTCCTGGTTGGCCCGACATGGTGTACGTGGCAACAAATCAGTGGATAGAGAAAAAAAACGGGGAAACTCATTACATCTGCAAAAATAACAGGCACTGAAAGGGACTCCAAAAAGGGGAAGCACATTACATCTTCACAAATAACACGCAGTGAAAAAAACTCCAAAAAGGGGTTCCCCTCACTTAATTATATAGAGGGGCAGTTTTAACGGCACGATTAACAGTTTAGAGCGCGGAATCCGACCCAGTTAGGGGCGAATCCAAGGTGCTTCTGTTCCCCTTCCACCCCCAAGAAAAGGTTAGCACAAAAAAAAAAAAGGGAAGGCTGCAAATCGCACAGGAGCTTCTCCAAAATAGCTCCGAAGAAATGCACAAAAAAAGAAGGTAAAAATAACTGCGTCATTAATTGCATAAAAAGAAGGCAAAAATAACGGCCTCATCAATTGCACAAAAGCCACATGCACAACGCACAACTCCTAGCCAGACCATTGGCACAAATCGAGAAAGTGCACGTTCGTTGCGCACAAAGGTTTCCCTTCGTCACCCCATTCAGATACCGCGAATGTTAGAAGCCTCTGCGAAATTGCACCTTATTAGCGGAAAAGAGAACCCCCCTAGAAAACTCAAAAAAAAAGGAGACGAATACACAAGAGGAGAGGGCAACAAAACAGAGTGTGCCTTTCCCAAACGTAAGCAGTCAGCCACCAAGTGTAAAATCCACTCTGTAATTTTCCAAACGCAGGGACAGAAATTCAACTATATAAAGCTGCATCAGGGGGAGTATTTATAACCGTATCCCTCCGCTGCAACCCTTCGTGGGAGCTATTTTGGCGTGCCCACTCGATGGTCCCCCCTGCCCCTCTTGGGATTCTTCGCTGAGACGGCTGGCCCAACCTCTCTCTCCCCTGCCTTCCTCAAAAAGTGCAAACTGGAAATTTTCATTTGTCCCAACATTCCGCATTTCACCCACCGGCCATCTCTACAGATTTTAATCATCCCATCGAACGTCAGGGCCACCAAAAAGTTGCTCTCGTTAAAATCAAAGTCGTCTATGTTTCCTCCCCCCCTGCTGCTATCACTGTGAAGCATCCAATTCTTACGTTCCCTGTTGAATATGTAAAAATAATTCTTCTCGTCCAGAACCCACAGGTGGTCATTTCTATCAAAGGCCAATGACTTGAGCTTAGCTATTCCGTAGGCCTTCTTTACCTGCACCCATTCGTATTTGTCCCATTTTTGTAAATCCCCACGGAGGTTTATTGCCCACATTTTATTCCTCGCACTAACGGCCATTTTTAAAAAGACAGCTTCTCTATGGGTGTCTATTTTTTCGAAACACCTGTTGCTCATTAGAAAACCCGGCTTGAAATCTGTATTGATGCAAATGATGTGTCCCTTTTTGTCACTGCACAAGGACACGAAACATTCGTAGAAGATGTTTATTCCCCTCCACTGATAGCCATCCCATGAGTACACTCTTCCTGAATGACTTACTCCCAGCATGTTTTCAAATAATGCAAATCCCTGTTGTCTATCCGCTTTCCGTAGAACCATCTTTCTGTGCTTTCTTAATGTTGGTCGTTTTTTCTGCTTTGCTTCTATCTGACCGCCCCATTTGGCCGCTGTCTCATTGGGCTCCTTGCCGCGGTTATCGTTGCTCATGTCGCCATGCTTGGTTGAACTTCGCCTCAAGGAAGTCGGAATATCCCCGGACTTATGCGGTCTCTCAGACCTTTCCGACTTCTCCGACTTGGTCAATTCGTCCCCCCCCTTCTTGGGTGAGAACGGTCCCAAAATCTGCACCTGGTCCGAAAGGGGCTTCTCCCTTTTCGCAAACGATTGAGTCTTCCGCCTCTCCACCATCTGGAATGACTTGATTTTATCTGTGCTCATGAACCTCTCAGCTATTTTTAGTATCTGCGTCTTGGCCCTCATCATATTTAGTTTCCTTTCCGAATTTATCTTTTTCGCTTTATTGTACGGGGTGAATGAAGAATAGGTCACATTTTTGTCTATTCTCATGCTGAAGGCTTTCTTGGGTTTCTCCCCTTTCAAGGCTGCTTGGAGATTTTCTGTGTGCAGCTTTTTCAGCTTTGGACTTACGCATCTGTAGCTGCTGCTCAGCGTGTGCGTCGTGGCTAGCCGCTGGAACACGGACACTTTTTTGATTGCGCTTTTTGCTGGTCCCTTCGGTTTGTCCACCGATTCTTCTTCACCGGAGTTGCCACGCCCATCTGTGTTTCGGTCACTAGAGTTGCCATCCCCATCCGTGTCGCGGTCATCCGAGTTTCCACCCCCATCCGTGTTGCGGTCATCCGAGTTTCCACCCCCATCCGTGTTGCGGTCATCCGAGTTTCCACCCCCATCCGTGTTGCGGTCATCTGATTTTCGGTCATCATCTACGCTGCCTTCATCACCTTCGTTTTCTCCTCCCTCCACACCTGCACGTTTGGGGCCCACCTGTTCCAAAGTACTTCCATCCAAAAGCCTGCTTTTATTTTTAAGGGATGACTTTAATCTTGGCGCATTTTCGCTTATGTGTCTTTCCTCATCAGATGGATCATCGGGGTTGGGTCCTTTCCCTTGCACGTCTGTGTGCAACTCCTTCTTGAGTGAACTGCTTGAATTTTTTATGGAAACGCTTCTGTTATTCAATTTGCCAGTCGATCCGGGAATAACTACCGTTTTGCTCTTTACGTATTGCATGGTTAATGAATCGGACACTCACAGGGTAGATTTTGCCAATCTGCGGGAAGTAGACTTGGGACAAGCAGACCTGAACATGTATCAAACGTTATGTCACAAAATCGTGGTCTCTTTTTTTTTCT